AGAATTAAACACCTTCCTAGCACACATAGGAAAGTAGCCAAATTTTGTACTAGTTTTTATTATGAGCAGCTGGAATGCGTACTAATCTCCACTCCCTTGTTGAGAGAAAAGCTTACCAGCCACAATACATCCGTGTAGACCAATCATAAGTGCAGCACTGTGGTACAAGGGGAGAGTGGTATAGATGACATCATCTTTCTTAAACCCGCTGACAGTACTGAGGCCAGTTCCGTACCATATGCGATGATGATTTATTGTCGCAGCTTTCGGGAGACCTTTGCAAAGATGCAAGAGAAGGCATGAGTGAGCCAAGATTGGGTATTCACAGCCATGTGGTCTAGAGGAGAGATGTGGTGTGGGAAGATTCATCATCCGGTGATTAGAGAATTACATAGGGGAGGGCTGTGATCATTTAGAATAGGAGTCAGCATTTTCTGCAAAGGACCAGACAGTAAATGTTTTAGGCTTTGCAGGGTCATACAGTCTTGGTTGCAACTACTCAACTCTGCTATTGTAGCCAATAGCAGCCAAACACATATAGGAATGAATGTGGCTGTGTTCTGATAACAGGCCAGAGTTTGCTGACCCTATGTTAGGGGGCTGTTACAGTAGTAATTTAAACAGAAAGGAAGGAATGTCTACTGAATTTCTGCTCTGTGCTTATGACCTTGCAAGGTATTTTCAAAATTTCATTTAATTGTCATGATTGATGAGACAAATAAATTATATTCTCTAATCCACAAATTAGAAGGCTGAGATTTAAAGAGATTAAATAGACAATCCATCCTATCACTTTCCTTCATCACCACATCTATGATTTCTTATGTACTCTTTTAGCGTCTCTTTATATAAATACAAGCAGTTAATGAACATTTGCTCATATGTTCTTGCCCTTCTCCTGTTTAAAAAATATGCACATTCTTCTGCACTTCCCCACCTAACAATGTATCTTGGAGATTTGTCCATATTTGTACATAGAAATTTCACTTATTTATTCATTCCTCTCAGTTACATCAAGTCTCTTCTCTGGTGTTTCATTTATAATTGGTTATACATTACATATGGACTCTGAATATAATATAATCAAAATACAACAATCATTAAAAAATTTCAAAAACCTATTCAGTGCCAAATTTCATCCATCATTATAACTATTTTTGTAAATCTTGATTAACCTCTTTATCTCTTATATACACCAACTAGGGGAAAATATATGTAGCTTGGAAAAACCCAAATGGGATCATATGCTATGAAATAAGATCAGTTCCCACAGGCAAAGAGCTAAATCCCATGAAGTATTAGCTATCTGATAAGTTTTGTCAAAGAAAGAGAACATTTGTTGGGCTGGCCGAGGGGCACGTTGGTTAAGAGATGGCTTGGGACACCAGAGGGCCCCGGTTTGGATCCCACATATGAGGGTCAGTGACACTGCCCTCTACAGCTAAGATGCTGAACAACAGCTCAACCTNGGGGAACATATTATCTCCTTCAACTTAATTATATATCTTTCAAAGGCAAGAATTTAGAGGTTCATTCAGAAAAATCTGTTGATGCCCAGGATGTGCCAGGTACAGATCTTAGTGCTGGGGATCTGGCAGCAAACAAGGCCCCTGGTGCATGGAGCTTACATTTAACTGGGGGAAACAGACAACAGTCATATAAACTTGTGCTATGTCAGAAGTGACAGTGCTGTGAAAAGCAGTAACCCACGGGATGAATGGTAAGAGGCAAGTGATACATTTGATAGTTAGTACGAGGGGCCTCTGATGAGGTGACATGTGGGCAGAGACTGAATGAGAGAACTGGGGCCAGACATCTTACACTACTTTCTATATCACACAGCAGCTATTATGTGAGTTGAACATAGGTATTTATAAATAGCAATTTATCAATTGAGTGATCCTTTGAATTTGTTTTCCTACGATGAGTGAAAGAATTAAAGGGAGTAGAATCTGGTGAATGTACTGCACTCTGTAGTCTAGTGTTTCTCAACTAGGGTTGATTTTTGCCTGCCAGGAAACATGTGGCAATGTTTGAAGACATTTTGATGATCATGACCAGGGCCGGGGGGAGGGTATTACTGGCATTTCCTGGGTAAAGGCCAAAGATGCTACTAAACATCCTACAGTGCACTGGATAAGTCCACCCAGCAAAGAAGGAATGGGCCCAAAATGTCAGCAGTGTCACTGTTGAAAACCTTTGATCTGGTCCCCGGGCAGGCTGCCATATCTCTGAGGAGAGCTGAGGAACTACGCAGGAGGTGTTCTTCCAAACAACTCCATCAAGATATCTAAATGTCTGAAAACTGGGTAGATCCAAGGCCCTAGTGGTTACCATGGGGGATCTGTTCCAAGCTTGGTGACAGACTTAGTCAGATAACCTCAAAGCCACATGGAGATTTATTCATTAAGCGACATTAAATAAGTTTCCTGCATGCCTTTGGTATAAGAGATGGCCAGGAGACGAGAAATGGTCCCTGCCATCATACATTTTATAGCCTGGGAAGGATGGGAGACATGAAGACCAACACCTACAATGTGACAAGGCCCACAATGGGATAGAAATTAAATGATGTAGGGTAGGGAGTGATGACTTTTGTTGGAGTGACCCAAATAGGTTTAACATATAAGGTATCATTTGAGCTGAGCTTGGAAAGTGAGTAGGCTTTAAATAGGCAGAGAGGCAAGTAGAGGATGTGCTAGGTAGTGGGTAAGATGTGAAAGCAGGTACAAAGATAGGAAGTAATATTAATGGCAATTGCCATCTGGTAAATCCCTTCTGTAAGATAGGGTTGTATCAAGTACTTTACCGTGACAAACAGTTGTAATCTAAAATGAAAACTGATATTTACAAATCAGCTGAAGCCTAGCAAAGTGACTTGAAGTTCCATCGTATCCATTTCAAAAAGATAATGAAACATGGGGAGTGTTACCTGGGGTAAGTTGCATAAATACCGAAGCAGTTCACCGATATACTGAATGACAGTGATGTTGTATTTTCTGCAGTCATCCCAAAACTGGCTGGCTGAAAATTTTTTCCGCAAAACAAGAGTAGCACCTACAGAGAAGGCATAGAAAGTGTTAGTAAAGAAATGTTACCAGAAAAAAAAAATCTCCCCAATGACATTTGTCACTTTTGAAAGCTAGAATTTAGATATTATATTCACAAACAAGTATCGAGTACCAATTATATTCAATGCAAAAGAAAGAAGTAAGACCTGGTTTTGTCCTATAGAAGCTTCCAATCTAGTGGGGGAGAAGGCTCATAAAAAAGTCTTTCTAATAAAAGTCAGTGTGCAATAAATAAAAGGTTCAAATGAGCCCNTCTTTCACCACTGTATTCCTGTGTCTCGTTCAAGTCTTTGCTCGAGTGAAAACATTCTTACTGTACACTTGACTGATAATTTGATTGGATACAGAATACTAGATAGGCAATAATTTTTACTGAGTATTTTGAAGGCACCGTTCCTTTGTTTTCCATCTTGCAGGGTTGTTATTGGCAAGTCAAATGTTATTCTTATAGCATCTTTTTCTCTCTCTCTTTTTTTTTTGGTGGTCTTAAATTTCATCATGGTGTAGTTTTAAAAATTTTAATTCCACTCATTTTATTTGGTACTCTATTGTCCTTCAGTCCTGGGAAGATTTTTTTTTTTGGTATTATTTTTTGATAATTTCTTTCTCTATTTTCTTTTTCTGATTTACGATTAATTAGATGCTGGATCTTTTGGTCTGATATTCACATTTTCTTATCTTGCCTCCCCTCATGTAATTGCTTTATCTTTTCTCCAAATGTCTGTAAGATTTCTCAACTTTATCTTTCAACTTTTCCATGAATTAAAACATTTTTAAATCATGTTTTTATTTTTCAGGGGGTCATATTCTGTTGTGTGTGTGTGTGTGTGTGTGTGTGTGTGTGTGTGTATGTGTGTGTGTGGCAGTATACTATTCTGATTTTATGAATATATCTCTGAGGATATTAATTGCAGGTCTGGGGAGGTTTTCTTCTGCTATCTGAATTGATGTTATTTCTTTTTTTTTCTTTTGATGATCTTTCCTGTTGGAGGTTTTCCTCAAGTGTCTGCTGATCATTGATGTCGGCTTATATTTAGGAGTGAGGCAACTTAAAGATGTGTGAGCAGCTTTGTGTGGTGGGGAGAGGCTATTGCCAGGTGGGCTGCACTGTCCTGTAATGGGCAGTGAGCCAATGTCCAATTTCTTTTTTGGGAAAGATGAGTTCTTCCTAATAATTATCCTCCTCCATTCTCTTGCCTACAAGCATAAACTGGCGACTGGAGTTCTAGAAGCTACACACAGGGAAAGGGAGGGAGCTGGGCGTCTCACTAGTCAGTAAGTAGATATTTACTCAATCTCTATTTTCAGTGCCTCACCTCTGCCCTCCTCTGCTCTTGGGGTCCTTGAGTTCAAAGCTTTTCTAGGTCATCTCAAGAGAACAAACCTATCTCCTACAGGAGTGGGAGAAGGGAGTAGCAGGTCTAGCTGTTTCTTATACAGACTTTCACTTTCAAAACTCCTCTTTTTTTCAAGCCCGGTGCCTCATCCTATCTTCAGTTGCACTCGGTGCCTCCAATTTCTCAGGTTTCAGGAAGTTAATCAGCTTCCTTCTTGTTGGCACCTGCCTCTTAAGTGTCACCTCTCTCAGTCCTGCCATGTCAGTGACCTTCACCTTTCAGCTCTATGTACTGTGTAGTGCCCTGTTGCAAGGTCTCCAAGACAATGGGAGCTTGTGTGTCTTTTTCTTGTCCTCCTGGTTTTTGGGAGACTTCCAAGAGGTGAAAGGCAGAAGGTATTCACCATCATAGAAAAAAAAATTGAGTCCATTTTCTTAACAATGAATATGCTATATTTCTGCCTGAATTCCTGAGGAGAAAAGAGAGCACCCACCGACAGGAACGAAGGGGTGAGGCTCAGCTTCTCTGCTGTACATTAGAGGCCTTTCTCCCTCCTGTGTATCTTTCCACTGCCGCCAAAGGGGCTGTCTAAAAACACATCTTCCACATGACTCCTCCACAAAAGGCCCTTTAGTGGGGCGTTGTCACGTTCGCATTTAAGTCTCAGCCAAGTAAAGCCCTTACCACCTGGCCCAGCCAATCGGCCTCGCCTCGTGCCGCACTGTTTGCTGTTCCCCGTACACCAGGTCCTTCGTTCCATGGCTCTGCATATGATGTCCTCGCTAACAAGAAGCCCTTCTTTTCCTGTATGGCTGGAAAACGTCTCTGCTTCCTTCAAAACTTTCCTTCTCTGGCAGGCCTTCCCCGATTCTGCTCTTTCCCTCTCTCCTCTGGCCTGTTCCTGTCCTGGCCCCCACAGGTCAGACTGGTCGCTCTCTACTCTGTGCTGGTACCTACCCATCTATTCTGTTTTCTATCAGAATGGAGGTGCGACAGAGAGAAATTTTGGGCTCGGAATGGACCACAGAGGTTACCTAAATTTGGAGGGAAGGCAGACAACACTAGGAGGTAAGTTGAGTCTATTCAGCTGTTTCAGGGTTCTGGTCTATCGTATTTCCCTTTCCAAATATTATGCCTTCTATGTGTGGCCCCTGAAACTCTTTTCTGGTTCCCTTCTCCTCCTCCCACCTGGGCCACACTCACAGCAGGCAGGACAAAGCCTCATATAGACCCCTTCCTGTAGCTTCAATCCCTAACTCGAGTAGAGAAACACTCTGTTTTAGTAATATCTCATTCTGATGAAACCTCTTTTCCTAAATGACACTGTTTTTTAGGCAATGACACAAATAAAATGGCTGCTGACAACTGCACACTGTAAGAAATGAACCTAACTAGCCTTTTATTATAACCAACTGAGCCACTTGGCCAGCCCCCACTAGCCTTTTATTATAAACTGGTGCTCTGGATGCAAAGGCCCAAATAGAACAATGGGAGACAGGTATAATGGATAAAGACTATTCAACAATAATACTGTAAAAATCACTTACGTCAATAGCTTTGTTACCCAACCCCCCTCTCCATCTTCGATGAGAGTGACTGACTAATTTTGAATGTCTTCACTTATTTCTTCCTCTGTGCATGTGGGGCAGAGTTTTCTTTGATTCATTCCATGAACATGTGTGGAACACCTACTATGAGCTTAATGTTCTTAAGCACTAAAAATAATGATAATAATGGTTACCATTTATTGATTATTTACTAAGTGTCAGGTACTTTGGTACATGCTTATGCACATCATTTCATTTTGCCTTCACAGCCCCCTGTGAGGTAGGTAGTATTATTTCCTCTGTTGGCTAATGGAAAACAGATTTAGAGAAGTTAACGATCCTGCTCAAAAGGCTGAGTCAGGCATCAGGCCTGCTGACTCCAGAGTCCTTGCCCTTAAGCACTGCATTAAGTCCCTTGAGTCAAATCGGAATTCCTGCCCCGAGGGTGGCTGGGAGCATTCCTCCCTCTCCTCTGCTCTACCAAAGGGTCTACTGGCTCCTTTAAGTCAAGCACAGTGGCCACCACCTCCCTAACATTGACCCAGATTCTCCTGATGAGCTGTGTAGTGTCTGTGGATAGATGTCATTTGCTTCACGTGCTCAGCTAAGGCAGGACTTGCCTCCCTGATATCTACTGCCTGGGGGCTGGTGGTGTTACCCACTCCAGGGACAGCCTATTTTAGGCAACTCTAAGGGTGAGAAAGTTCCTGATTGCATTGATCCAGAGCCTTCCACCATCACTTTTGTTTGAGAAGGTCATTTGATACAACCTTTCTTTAAGCTCCTTTTAAACCCATAGATATCTGGGCTTCCTATCATAACCTATTTTCTTTTAAAATTGTGGTAAAGGACACATAACATGAAATTTACTATCTTAACCATTTTCAAATATGCAGCTCGGTGGTATTAAATACATTCATAATGCTGTGCAATTATCATCACCATCCATCTCCACAACTCTTTTCATCTTGTAGAACTGAAACTCTACATCCACTAAGCAATAACTTCCCATCACCTCCCTCCCCCAGCCCCTTGCAACCACCATTCTACTTCTATCTTTATGATTTTGACTACTCTTAAGTACTTCATATAAGTGGAATCATATGGTATTTGTCTTTTTGTGTTATTTTTATGCTATTTCACTTAACATAATGTCCTCAAGGTTCATCCATGTTGCAGCATATGGCAGAATCGCCTTCCTTTTTAAGGCTGTATAATATTCCATTGCATGTATATACCACAGTTTGCTTATCCATTCATGGACACTTGGGTTGTTTCCATGTTTAGCTATTGTGAATAATGCTGCTATGAACATGGATGTACAAATATCTCTTTGAGATCCTGCTTTCAATTCTTTCGGGTATGTACCCAGAAATGGAATTGCTGAATCATATGGTAATTTAATTTTTAATTTTTGAGGAACTGCCATACTGTTTTCCACACTAACTGCATCATTTCACATTCCCACAGTGCACGAGGGTTTCAGTTTCTCCACATCCTTGTCAACACTTGCTGTTTTCTGTTTTTTTAGTAGTAGACATCCTAATGGGTGGTAAAGTGGTATCTCATTGTAGTTTTGATTTGTATTTCTCTAATAATTAGTGATGCTGAGCATCTTTTAATGTGTTTATTGGCCATCTGTATATCTTCTTTGGAAAAATACCTATTCAAGTTCTTTGCCTATGTTTGAATCAGGTTATTTTTTTGTTAAGTTTCAGGAGTTCTCTATATATTCTGGATATTAATCCCTTATTGGATAAATGATCTGCAAACATTTTCTCCCATTCTGTGGATTGCTTTTTGCTCTGTTGATAGTGTCTTTTGAGGAGCAGGATTTTTAAATTTCTATGAAGCCTGGTTTGTCTAATTTTTCTTTTGTTGCCTGTGTTATTGGTGTCATATTCAAAAAGTCATTACTAAATCCAAAGTCATGAAGTTTTGTCCTATGTTTTCTTCTAAGAATTTTATTATTTTAGGTCTTAAATTTAGTTCTTTGATCCATTTTGAGTTAATTTCTCTATATGGTGTTTGGTAAGGGTCCAGATTCATTCTTTTGCATGTGTATTCAACTTTCCCAGCACCATTTGTTGAAAAGACTGTTG